TGCTTTAAAGGATGAAACAAAAGAGGGGGGGCAATTACACGTTTAATACTCTTGACTATGAACACAAGCACTGTAGCATAGCAATTGCATAACATGTTAGAAATAAATATTTATCTTTATCTTCAAACATAAGCATAATTTAAAATAACTCTGTTTAAAAATGTTCAGTTTCCTGCAAACATATAGCAGCATAGAAAAGAAGAAGCCATGTGACGAAGCATAGGGAATGCTGTGTTGCTGTCACTCTGGAGAGCAAGTTGCTGATGTGTATCTATACTTGGAAACACATGGAGTTGCTCCATTTCTAGCTCAGAAAACAGTTTCATTCCAAAGGAAGTTGTTTGTTGTGAGAGTAAATGAAGAGCATGCCTTTCGTGTCATTGTAACGTGCCATCTGCTCCCCTTCGAGTCCCAAGTGGAAGGACCCAGTTTAAGAAGTTAGCAGCAACTCTACTTTCACGTCTTATCCAAGTCAAGACTACCTAGCTGGCCTAAATGATCAGTCAAGTGTTTAAAAGCCCCTAGTTTGCAAGGGTTACTAAACAATTTCTAATTACAGGATCAGATACATAAATTGAAGACTAGTTGATTGCACTAGTACCGCTTATTCTGTAGGCAGAAAGACAACACAGGCTTAATTCACACTCTGTTACTGTGTGCAAAACCTTTATGTATCAGCGAAGAAGAATGTGTGAGAAGGAAAGTGTTTTTCCACACATTAATAGCCCAAGATGAGTTTACCATCTGGCACAGTGGATTTCAAGTCACCGAGAAGTCTTAAACACGAACACTCATAAAGATACTTTTATTTTCTGGTGTGTACTTTGTTCCATCAGTTTGATTCTGATCTTTTCCTTTTGTGCCCTTGCCATCTCTCTGTAACAACCCCCCCCCCTTTCTCACACTGGCCAAATTGATTTTTTATTGTTACAGCAGGATGAAAATAATTTTAAGGAAGGAGTTTTCATACAGTGTTTTGAATTCTCTACAGATAACTAAACTGAAAAGGTCCTGGCGATACCTTAGTAGCAAATATAATCTGCTTTGTTCTATTATTTTAATGTAGGTATGTTAAATGCCTTGATAAAAAATTGTATGAAGCTTGTACGTAGCTGTACCAAATGTTACAGCCAAGCCTGTAACACATAGCATCAAGCTAAGAACAAATGGTGTAATAGAGAAGGAAAAACTATGTTTCACTTCTGTACATGACTATTGTGATGAACATGACCACTGTTTACTCCAAACTTCTGTTGTGGTGTTTTGTTTTTCATTTAACTAAGAAGTTGCTATTAAGACTGAAAAACTTGTAGCCCATGGTTACAATTTTGGCAGTTCCAACATTTTTGGGTAATGATACTATCACATAACAGAATAATGGAAGCTAAATTTTGTGTGGATATCCTATTTGTGATAATTAATATGCATTCTTCAAAAGTCTTCATCTAAACCACACGTAAAACCTCATTCCAAATTGTAAGAGGTGATGAAATGGGCACATTTAGATGTGACAGCAAACCATGGTTTCCTGTCTTGTGCACAAGCATCCATGAACCTTGGTTGTGTGCAGCCTTTCATTTCCTCTTCCTCCTCCACATGTAAAGGGAAGAGACAACCATCCATCTGTCACTGTGTTCAAATGCAGCAAACTGTGCTTTGCCCTTCAAACCAGAATCTGAACCATAGTTTGATCTTGATTCATAAATGGCATCTTGTGCTTTAGTTGATGTGGCAAATGCTAATAACCTATTCTTTCACCTTTTGTTGTTGTTGTTAACCCAACTCCTTCATATTTCATCTGGTGGAGACTAAATGTTGCAATTTTATTTTAACGCTAATAACCATATATTGAACTCTGCTCTGTACTTCTTATTTCAGCACTAAATGCATGCATGTGACCCAGATCTAGAATGAAATTAATCCCAATATGACCTTGTTCAAATATTTTAGCACCAAAAATGTAAAGGCTACTGCAGATGCCTTATTTGCTGTTACACATGTAATGGTTCAACTTATTTAAAATTGTTTTTGCTTTATGGGCAACAGGTTGTGCTTTCATTTTATTGTACCTTTCAAGCTAAAAAAACTATACCAAAAGACATCTCTGTTGCAGATATAAACTATGTCATATAAAATTTCTTCTTTGTTACTAGATTTCCCCATTAATGTATGTTTTTAACTGTCTGCCAACCTGGAAACATTTTCTTGGCAACTCTGGCTGATTTGGAAACACTGAACATTTTTTCCATTCCTCTTCTGTCCGCATATATTCTGCCATCTGTCATGTTCTGGAAAACAGACAGTCTCATATCATGTTCTTTACGGTTTTTCACATTCTCTTTTATATTTGTTACTTGAAATCGGTCCAAGGTAATCTTCAGTCTATAGCAACTGCTTAGTTAGCAAAGTTTAAAAATAGCATTCATGTTAGTATGCACTACATGTACTATTGTAGCTGCTGCCATTATTATTATTATTATTGTTATTATTATTATTATTATTATTATTATTAGATATACAGAGACCTGGACCTGAATTATCTTAGCTCTTTTCTGCATAGTCTCTTTCCTCATTCCCAAGAGTCGTCCATTTATCTTCATTAGCCACTTGTTCCAGTCTGCTGCTAGTTTTAACCAGGAAACAAGCTGTATTAGCTTTGCATAGCAATTCAGGAATTAGAATCCACAGTTCTTGGAGGAATAAGGCCAATGCACCAATAAAGATTGTACCTTGATTAATCAAATAATCTCAGTTTGCCTGAGCTGGACCACTGTTCAGACAATTGTCTCATCACATAGCCCACTGCTTTTGTTTAAGCACTTAGTTTCTAAATAGATACTGAGATGCAACAGAGGAACACGATCAATTCTTTCCCTTCTAATCTGTTTTAGGGGCAGGAGGAGATGGATTTATTATAAAAGTACCCTGCATTCTAAACCGCCCTGTGATCTTCGGATGAAGAGTGGTATATAAATTAAATAAAATAAATATGTAATTATTCTAGAAGGTAGTTTAACCCAGTTACTGAGCTCTTGGAAAACAGCTGTTTACATCAGGGGTGGGAAGAAGACAGATTGGCATCTACTAGTAGACCTCTGGGTGATTTGCAACTAAAAGACTATTTTCTTCCTTGAAATTAGGCTAAATTCTAATTAAGAAAGCTTAGGGGAGAAAACCAGCAGGGGGATTTCTTTTGTAAAAACGAGCTGCAAACACATTCCTGGTACTTAAAGCAATTCCTGCACTGGTTAGGCTTGTGCTCAGAGGGACTATGGTCCTTAATTCACTTCAGTGTGACTTTGCCCCAAAGCAGCTGTATGGTACCTGCTGGCGTAAGTTGGTGGATATTGGGGTTCTAATAAAAAGCAAAGCAGATTTTGGATGTGCTGTTCTTCATGAAAGTACTGCATGACTGACCCAGGAAGGTTAAGTCCTCTTGGAAATGAATGGGTCACATCCAGATTTTGTTGGATTACATCCCCCAGCCAGCATGGTCAGTAATCAAAAACTGATGGCACGTGGTCCAGCAACTTATGGAGGTTTGCAAGTTCCCCAGCCCTACTCTAGAAAGATTTCCAAGGGCCAGGGGGTTGTTGAGCGTAGCATGTCCTGATTTACTTCTTATTACAATTAGAGGGACGTGGGTGGTGCTGTGGTCTAAACCACTGAGCCTTGGGCTTGCCGATCAAAAGGTTGGCGGTTCGAATCCCCGCGATGGGGGGATCTCCTGTTGCTCGGTTCCAGCTCCTGCCAACCCAGCAGTTCAAAAGCATGCCAAAAAGTGCAAGTAGATTAATAGGTTCCGCTCCGGCGGGAAGGTAAACGGCGTTTCCGTGCGCTGCTCTGGTGTCGGTGTTCCGTTGCTCCAGAAGCGGCTTAGTCATGCTGCCCACATGACCCAGAAAAACTGTCTGCAGAGCAAACAAACGCCAGCCCCCTTGGTCTGTAAAGCGAGAGGAGCGCCACAACCCCAGAGTTGTTCACGACTGGACTTAACTGTCTGTGGTCCCTTTACCTTTTTACAGTTAGAGGATTGCCGGTAAATTAATAAATCTTAGGTCGAATCTGATCTCTCCCTGGGCAAAATCCTGGGGAAAAACAGAATCTGAACAAGGCCTGTGTTGAAAGCCTTTTACTGTGTGATTTTAGAAATACCTGAAGATTACTTGCAACTTATTCTTTATCAGATGAGAGTTATAAGAAGAATTAGAAGATGAAGAATTTTACTAGAGATAAGTGAATGAGAAAACAGTTTAGATTGCAAGCTAAATGATTTTCTGATTTAAAGGCACCCACAGAGGTGACATGTGGCTAATAAACTGTTTAACATTTGTAGCCCCCAATAAAATAAAAGGCTGCGTCTTTTATTAGAAAATAAACTTTTTATCAAAGAGGGATTAAAGGTAGCCATCATAACTCACAAACAATCTTTAAATAGTTTTTCCTGTTTATTATTTCAAGATTGTGTATCAGGCTAATCAACTGACAAAATGCTGTTACATATTTTACTGGAAATAATAATAATAATAATAGTAAAATTTATATTCTCCCCTATACCCACAGGTCTCAGGGCAGTTCACAGGATAAAATTACAATATAAAACCACAAAATACATAACTGAAATAAAACCAGAAACAGCCGAATAACACCCCCCCCCGAGAAAACACATTTTAGAAGGGCATTGGATGGCAGTCACCCAAAGGCCTGGTTAAAGAGGAACATTTTTGCCTGGTGCCTAAAGATGTATAATGAAGGCGCCAAGTGAACCTCCCTGGGGAGAGCATTCCACAAGTGGGAAGCCACTGCAAAAAAAGGCCTGTTCTCATGTTGCCACACCTCCTCAAACTCCACAGGAGTGTGAGATTCCAGGGGTCAAGGCGTTTACCCAGGGTTTGTGTTTCCTTTGGAAATGAGGCACAGTGGAGACTGTGGTGTCTTTATTATATATAGTTTATTAAATTAAATTAAATATAATTTTGAAATCTCTTCTTCTTTTTAAGGAAATGACCCATTCATGGCCTCCGCCACTTTCTGCTATTCACACACCTGGCAAAGTGGAACAAAACAAGTTTCCTTTCACCAACAAGGTAAATAGCTTTATCTTTAACCTTTACCACCCTCTATTCTAATGAGGAACCTGAACTACATGGGCCATATCCTGTTGGGGGAACCATGAGAACAGATTTGGGGGACATGTGAGGGGAGGAAAGAACAGAAGTCTTATTGCGCCATTGGTATTACACATGCAGAGCATTGGACACAACCCTGTGTCATAACTGTTTATATACCATCCGTGTTTCATCTCCTTTGGAGTTGAAGATTGAAAATATAACTAGAGAGTTGACCTGAATGTAGTATTTTGCATAGCTTTGCAACTTCAGATCTGCAGATAAAGCCTTTGGAACATTTCAAACCTAGTTGTCGTGTGCACATTTTCCTCCCCTCCTAAATTTAACTTGCATAAGACAATCTGCTTTTTATCAACATTCATTTAAAAATTACCCTCATGGCTGGTTACCAAACCTACACCATCATCTGCTGCCTCTACTCCCCTCTTTATAAATCTTCTGTCAGACCTCTGCCCTTTTCCTTTACTTCTGCTTTCTGTGTTATTGACTACTGCTACAGGCAAATGATTGTATCAGCTCTTGCGATTTGTAAAATATCAGCAGCACACTGTTGATTATAAATAAATGTGTGTTGTTGGTTTTTTTTAAAAAAAGTTGTGTTGTGAAGTTGTTGCCATTCCAAAGTCATGTATCTGAAGTACAGGAAGTTGTTGCCATTCCAAAGTCATGTATCTGAAGTACAGGAAGAGAGGCAATGCCAGAAAAAAACCCCAGCAGCCTCATACACTGGGATAGCCAACCACATTGGTTCATAAAGGGGAATAGCAAGGTAGAGAGAGAAGTAGGATAAGCAGTTGTAACAATTAATTAGAAAGGAGATAGGAGCATTAAAGTGTTTCCTATATTTGTATTGATGTGGTAAATTAACCACACATCTCGAGAAAGCGGTAGTTTTTGCTCATTTGTGTTTAAAAATATAATCTTGATTATGTTAGCCCTCAGGCATTTTGAACTACTTTTAACCTGTACTTCAGCTAATTGCTAGTCTGACAGCTTGAAATTTACACTGTATTAAATAGGCAATTAAAATTCCACAGGCTGTCATGGCTGCAGCCAAGCTTATTTGATATCAGTCTAGAAATCAAAGCTAAATAACTGTCTGTAAAAAATTCATTTTATTTCTATGGAATATGCTGTATAACAATAAAGGAAATTTAATGTCAAGTAGACTTATTGGCTTCAATTCAGCTGGGGACTCAGTGGTATGCCAGACATACCATTTGCACAGCTGCTTTTGTCTTCCAGTTCGTTCTTCAGCCACCCCTATGCTGAATTGCTTTTTTAAACTTAGGGGTTGGTGGCAAATATAGTCCGACCCAGTGATTCGGTAAAAGAGAATACAGAAATAGGAAGCAGCAGAAACAGCAGTCCACAAAGCCTTGAAGATCAAGGCAACTGAATACAGGAGTGTGTATCCTCTAATCCCAGTGGCAAACTGAACATTTCCAGTATTACTCAATTGGGGGCATAAAGTTTCAATTTGTGGTCATTGTTATAATACTGGAAAAGAGAGCTCTATTCCATGTTGCTTTGCTTTCTATGTTCAAAGCTATATCATGGTACCTCGCTTCTCAAACGTAATCCATTTCGGAAGTCTGTTTCAAAACCAAAGCGTTCCAAACCTAAGGCACTCTTTCCCATAGAAACTGATGCAAAATAGATTAATCCATTCCAGACTTTTAAAAACAACCCCTAAAACAGCAATTTAACATGAGTTTTACTATCTAATGAGACCATTGATCCATAAAATGAAAGCGATAATCAATGTACTGTACTATAAAATAAATAAGACAGTATTGTAGGTGATAAAAATAAAAATAATTTTTTTTCCTTACGTGCACTGATACCTGCATACAGGATGTTTCCTTACACACACATTTTTTGTGTACAGTGGTACCTTGGGTTACAGACGCTTCAGGTTACAGACTCCGCTAACCCAGAAATAGTACCTCAGGTTAAAAACTTTGCTTCAGGATGAGAACAGAAATCACGCGGTGGCAGGCCCCATTAGCTAAAGTGGTACTTCAGGTCAAGAACCGTTTCAGGTTACGAATGGACCTCCAGAACGAATTAAGTTCTTAACCTGAGGTACCACTGTATATGTTTTATTTTTAATGGCTTTCTGTAGCTATGTGGTATTATTTCATAATAAACATAAGGAGCACAACTTTGCACCGTAGTTACATTATTTCATTTATTTATTTATTTATTTATTTAGACTTAGGCTCCATCTTTCCTTTGCTATGGAACCCAAGGCTGGATCTACACTGACCTTTTTAACATTATTAGAACGATATTAGCTATATCGTTCTAAAATATCACAGGGCATACCACTAAAAAAAAAAGTTTATTACCTTAACGTTGTTCCTCCATAACAGCAGTTTCCCTTACTACCTGGTTCTTGGTTGCTCTGCAGCGCCCTCTGGTGCCACATTTTAATAATGCATTATTAACGTTATTAGCAAAATGTAATGTGACCCTTACATTTTGAAAACCGTTCTTTAACTCTTTCTTAATGTTATAAACCATGAGTGTAGATCCTCTCCAAGGCTTCTAAAACTCCAAACAAACAAGTTTTTGTGTATGTGTATGTGTGTGTGAAATACAAAAAAGAAATACTAATAAAACCACTATAAGATTACATAAGTGATTCAGCAAACAACAGAACAGCAGATCAGCAAAACAGAAGAGTAAAAAAGAAACCCTCTTCAGCCAAATGCCTGGTGGGGGCAGAAATATCCTTGTTTCCTCTATCTCTCTCATCTAAATTTTGCCCTTCTATTTGAGGGACTTGTTTTTGTTACTGCTTCAGTTGCTACTGCACAGCAAAGACCACAAGGGGCAACCCTGCCATGTCCCTCTACATGTTATCAGTCATTATTGTATCCAATCCATTTGCCCGATAACTGCTATAGATTGTGTAAATTTGTGTATTTCAGTTCACTAGCCTTTTGCCATGTTCTGACTACCTAACAGTTGTACCAGACATCTGCACGCCAATCTATCCAAGGCTTTAGAAACATCTCATGAGAGTAAAGCTGCCAGTTTTGCTAATTTTCCTCCCACGGCTAATGATGTTTATTGCTGTCCACACTGACTCCCCTAGCTGGGGACATGGGGACATTACTGTAACTATCTTGACATTGACTTCTACATTTTAGTTGTCTACCTCTACGTTTCTGTTCTCCCTCTCTGATGTTTTCGTCTGAGCCTCCCTTTGACATCTGAATTTGTACATGGCAAAAACGGCAAGCCCTTTGAGCTCCTGTCTAGTTAACTTGGGAACCCAAATGTGTGTGGTTGGTATGAGTGATACTGTTCTCTGGAAAACCTGAAGAGAACTGAAGTCTAGAGTAGCAGCCATTTTTAGTTTCGTTGTAGTAAGAAGTTTATCTGTGTCCTGCACTCCAGTCTACTGTGTCATTGCTTTGCAAAGTTTGCAGCAAAGATCACATGGTGTTAGAAGAGAAATTGAAAGTAAAGCAGCAAATGATAAAAAAGAAAAAATACCCAGCTAAACACTCCTGCAAAATGTTTGAAGAAAAGGCAGCAGAGAACTGGATAAGGTGGAGACTAGAGTTTGAATTGCACTCTCTTGTAAGTGGAGCAGATAAGGAAGATAAGAGAGACTTCAGTGAGTGCTTGTTCTTCATGTGGCAGGTAAAGAAGCAACAGCAGTATTTGATCCCTTTCAGTTTGATGATGACAATGCAGATAAGAGAAGCATTCAGGTTTTGATTAATAAATGTGAAACATACTGCACCCAAAGAAGGAGGATTGCATATGAAAGGCACATATTTTTCACAAGACTGAAAGTGAATTATAGAGTGAAATCCACAAGTCCACTTAAACAGCGTTAAATTAGTCCAACTCAAACCAGATTTACTGCTTGTTAGCTACAGAGCCAGTGTGGTGTAGTGGTTAAGGGCAGTGGACTTGTAATCTGGTGAAATGGGTTCGCATCTCTGCTCCTCCACATGCAGCTGCTGGGTGACCTTGGGCTAGTCACACTTCTCTGAAGTCTCTCAGCCTCACTCACCTCACAGAGTGTTTGTTGTGTGGGAGGAAGGGAAAGGAGATTGTTAGCCGCTTTGAGACTCCTTAGGGTAGTGATAAAGCGGGATATCAAATCCAAACTCCTCCTACCGGAAATCAGGATATTTACATTGATATAGGAAAATATGGGTGGTTGGCTTTTGCTGCTCAACTCCCCAAGGGACTGAGTCCCCTAAGTCCTTGATCGGTCAGAGATGAATGGATGGAGACAGGATGCAGTGAAAGCAAGGCAGATCTTTATTTTTCTGTTGCAACAGAGATCCCTCCACTTCTAGCAAGGAGGCAAGAGGGACCCAGAACCAAGAAGAAACATCTCTTTTAAGGGTTTGCATTTTGGCATGGAGAAGAAGGACATCGCCTCTACAGACAGTCAGAAATAACATCACACATAAGGTGGGGTTACTGTGGCTCAGGCAGGCCAAGGTGCGATATTCCTGAGGATTTAGCAAGTTTTACATAGTTCCAGACACAGTTTACACACAAAAATAGCATTTGTAAGACAATCAGGATGCCAGTCAGACATCCCTCAATGCAGAGCATCTGACCAAACAATGGCAATTAATACAAAGGAGGTTCATAGATATAGGAGAGGAATCCCTTCAGGAACTTCCCCTGATTGCTATCTGCCTACATGTTCTCAGGCAAGGGGGATTAAGGAGGCAGAGGAAATAAGTCTTCAGGAGAGCCAAGAGGGTTTTTGGATTGCTCTCTTGTACTGTTTTAGATGTGGTTTATATACTTACGTATGTGTGTTTACCTTGTGCAATTATCAACATTTATTCTATATTTGAGACCTTAGAATTTCTATAACAATATACTCAGTCAATAAAAACAATAAAATAGATACATACAAAATATGTTATATTATACATTAATATAATTAAAATTATGCTACTACAGAA